AGTAGTGTGGTTGCAAAAGTGATTGACATACTCTGATTGCAATATTCAGGTTGAAATGGCAATACTGAGCTGTCAATAATGTGGCTGTGAAATTAATTGTGACATTCAGGTCGACATTGCAATACTACAGTTGGAATATTCCTGATCGGACAATAATTGTAATATTAAGGTCAATAATATGATAATATAGTCGTAATACTCTGGTTTCAAGATGCCAGTTGCAACTTCATGTAGTGACACATACACGTACGTCTTCTGCTGACTGGCCGGCTCTTAAAAACTCAACACCAGAAAGCTAGTTCACTGATTCGAAACTTGGGTAAAAATTCTTTGTAAATATCTGAACTGTCGAGAACAAACCTTAAGATAAACAGACAGACGCACGTGCACTAATGACTGACACGCACACAGAACCCTACCACACACACACACACTATATCACCTCAAACATATCAAATATTTAACAAGACTCGCCAACATCACACACGACACGACTAGTTATTACACGACCATACGACAGGTGGTTGTGGTTATTGCACGACTAGGTGTCGGACACGACTATGGGGCAGAGTAATAACGGTGGTAGTGGTGGTGGTGGTGTGGTGGTGGTGGTAGTTGTAGTGGTGGTGGTAGTTGTAGTGGTGGTGGTTAAGTGGTGGTGGTAGTTGTGGTGGTGGTGGTAGTTGTAGTGGTGGTGGTGTTGTAGTGGTGTAGTTGGTGGTGGTAGTTGTAGTGGTGGTGGTGGGTAGTGGTGTAGTGGTGTGTAGTTGTGGTGGTGGTGGTGGTGGTGGTGGTAGTTGTGGTGGTGGTAGTTGTAGTGGTGGTGGTAGTTGTTGTAGTAGTGGTGGTAGTTGTAGTGGTGGTGGTAGTTGTGGTGGTAGTTGTAGTGGTGGTGGTAGTTGTTGTAGTAGTGGTGGTAGTTGTAGTGGTGGTGGTAGTTGTAGTGGTGGTGGTGGTGGTGGTTATGCAGTTATATTGGTGGTAGTTGTAGTTATAATTAATTGGTAGTTCTTAGTTATAGTGGTGGTGGTAGTAGTTGTAGTGGTGGTGGTAGTAGTTGAGTGGTGGTTGGTAGTAGTTGTAGTGGTGGTGGCGTGGTTGTAGTGGTGGTGGTTGTAGTGGTGGTGGCGGTTGGTTATAATTGAGGTGGTTGTAGTGGTGGTGGTAGTAATTTGTGGTGGTGGCAGTTGTAGTTATAATTAATTGGTTGTAGTGGTGGTGGTAGTAGTTGTGGTGGTGGTGGTGGTGGTGGTAGTTGTAGTGGTGGTAGTTGTAGTGGTGGTAGTTGTAGTGGTGGTGGTAGTAGTGGTGGTGGTGGTGGTTGTGGTGGTTGTAGATATAGACTATGAGGCAACAGTCACTGAATGCCGCATAGATCTGCGGCTCAACTAACTCAACACAGCTAGGATAGCTACTTATGTATTACGATATTTAATTTCAAAGTTGTATTAGTGGTGGTAGTAATAGCAAGAGTAAAAAACGAAAAAGAAGAAGAATGAGGAGGAAGAAGAAGAAAGAGGAAGAACAGGAGGATGGAGGAGGAGGAGGAAACGTAACACCCCAACGTCAGAAATAACGATCGTGAAGAACCAATCAGCATCAACTTTAATTACTCAAACGACCAATCAACTTCAAGTATTTAGTATATCCCCTCGTGGCACAAACAAGACACACACACACAATAGCTCCAAGATAGGGCCGTGGAGAAAGGGATTAAGGGCCTCGCCTTCCTCGCCATCATAACAATAGTCCTCAGAGTCACGCACCTTCAGGTATAATGAGACCCTGACCTGACCTAACCTTAATAAAACGCGTAACAGCTTAGTGTATCACCTGAGAAGCTTTAACAAAACACGTAACAGCTTTCTATGTCAACTCAGAAGCTTGAATAAACACGTAACAATTTGGAGTGTTACCTGCGTATCTTAATAAAACACGTAACACCTTGAGCGTATGAAACTTAATAAAACAATTAACACAAAGACAGGAAAAATTCACCTCACGTCATCAGGTAAACTCACACAGTAAAACCCTCACCCAAACAGTTGATGCGTCTGTGTTACCTGACCACCTCCACTACCTGACCCTCGCATTATCCTCAGGTAAACACGGATACATCTTCACACCTAAACATCCTCACTACTTCAATAAACATCAAAGGCACCAAATCATATATCTAAACACTGGACAACATTTCTAAACATACATCAGGTTATGAAAGGTAATTAATCAGGAGTAATAATTGATTTACAAGACGGGAGACTAATTTACTGGGAATCACAGGTAAATTTACACCCAAATGACTAAAAAATACCGACAATTACCCTCCTTATGTAAACATCAAACGTATGAACATAAAAGAAAAATCGTCGATATACAAAAAATTACGTAGAAACATATAGATAAACATTACACCTGAACGTAAATTAAAGGTTCATTAAGCTTCAAAGACACAGGTACGGTAAGGAAAATATTTAATATATTGGAGTCTTGTTTTGTTGTGTACAAGGTCGAAGGATGGAGGGGGAGGGAGGGAGGGATGGAGGGGGAGGGATGGAGGGAGAGGGAGGGAAGGATGGATGGAGGGGAGGGAAGGATGAATGGAGGGGAGGGATGGAGGAGGGAGGGAGGGATGAATGGAAGGGGAGGGAAGGATGAATGGAGGGGAGGGAAGGATGAATGGAGGGGGAGGGAAGGATGAATGGAGGGGAGGGATGGAGGGAGGATGAATGGAAGGAGGGAAGGATGAATGGAGGGGAGGGAGGGATGGAGGGGGAGGGAAGGATGAATGGAAGGGGAGAGAGGGAGGGATGGAGGGAGAAGGATGGATGGATGAATGGAGGGGGAGGGATGGAGGGGAGGGAAGGATGAATGGAGGGGAGGGATGGAGGGGAGGAAGGGAAGGATGGAGGAAGAGGAAGGGAAGGATGGAGGGGGAGGAGGGAGACGCTGGTTGGAGGAAGGAATTCAGGAAAAAAACTCGCAAGAAAAAAAAACAGAAAAACCTAACCTAACATACGTGTAATGTCTTCATATATAAATTGTGTTGTCAACGTGTACAGGTCATGTCAAGTCAGTTAATAATGGACTTAATTATTTGTTATTTTATTACTTTAACTGTTAATGATATTTAGAAAAAGCGACTTTTTCGCGTGACTATTTCCGTTCACCGGAGGAAGAGGGAGAGGGTGGTTAGAAGAGGTGGTTAGAGAGGGTGGTTAGAGGGAGAGGGTGGTTAGAGGGAGAGGGTGGTTAGAGGGAGAGGTGGTTAGAGGGGAGAGGGTGGTTAGAGGGAGAGGGTGGTTAGAGGAGAGGGGTTAGAGGAGAGGGTGGTTAGAGGAGAGGGTGGTTAGAGGGTGGTTAGAGGGAGAGGTTAGAGAGGGTGGTTAGAGGAGGGGAGAGGGAGGGGTGGTTGGTGGTTAGGAGGGAGAGGGTGGTTAGAGGAGAGGGTGGTTAGAGGGAGAGGGTGGTTAGAGGGGAGGGGGTGGTTAGAGAGGAGGTGGTTGGGAGAGGTGGTTAGAGGAGAGGGTGGTTAGAGGGTTGGAGAGGGTGGTTAGGTGGTTAGAGGAGAGGGTGGTTAGAGGGGAGAGGTGGTGGTTAGAGGGAGAGGGTGGTTAGAGGGAGAGGGGTGGTTAGAGGGAGAGGGTGGTTAGTTAGGGAGAGGGTGGTTTAGAGGGTGGGAGGAGGGTGGTTAGAGGGAGGGTGGTTATGGTTAGGAGAGGGGGTGGTTAGAGGGAGAGGGTTGGTTAGGGAGGTGGTTAGAGGGAGGGGTGGTTAGAGGAGAGGGGGAGGAGTGGAGGTAGTGAGGGCGGATGGGGTGGAGGCAGGGAGGGAGGTAGGATGGAAAAAAGAGGAGGAAGTAGAGGGCGATAGTTAAATGAGGGGGGGGTTGGATGTAGGGAGGTGGGGGGTTACTGATGCCCTCCCAAAACAAACAAACAAACCACCACACAGACAATGTTACACCAAGAATGTGTGTGTACCTTTAGAACGTCTTTACACCCCCCTCACCATGTAGGCAGGTCCACCTCACCCAGGGCGATATAAAGTATGTGGGCACCTGTGTGTGTTTCGCACTCGCTTGGCTCTCACAGTGCCACCTGGTATGTACCACACAACAGCTGGTGAGCTCCCCCCCACCTCTTACCTCATGGCCGCTGCTGCACCTTCGCCCTACTTATTTTCAAAGGTTAGAAAGTAATGTCTTTGTTTTCCCGTTTAAAAATTTGGATATTTTTCCCGTCTAAGACATTCGCACTTTTACCCGTCTAAAAAATTCGACATTTTCACCCTCTAAATAAATTCCAACGTTTTTTCCCGTTCTAAAAAAAAATTTCGTATTTCCGTTCTTAAAACTAAGAAAAATTCCCGCGTTCTAAAAAAAACTCGTACAAGTTTTCCCACCCCGAGACAGGACAACACACTTAAAACATGTAAAATAATTCGTGTGTGTTGGGGTGAGATATATAGATATATATATATATATATATATATATATATATATATATATATATATATATATATATATATATATATATATATATATATATATATATATATATATATATACCTTAACACACCAGAATATTTGCGCGACGCACACACACACGGCTATCATAAGTTTCGCTTACATAACATAAAGGTGTTTTTTGTTTTCAAGCTTTTATTAACACCTGTTCCGGATATCCTTTTGGCTGATACTTTTGTGGACCTTTATGTTTCGTATTTTATATTTCATGTTTTTGTGCGTGTTTTGTGTGTTGTGTTTTATGTTCCGTGTTTTTGTGTTCCGTGTTTTTGTGTTCCGTGTTTTGTGCTCCGTGTTGCTCCGTGTTTTGTGCTCCGTGTTTTGTGCTCGTGTTTTGTGCTCCGTGTTTTGTGCTCCGTGTTTGTGCTCCGTGTTTTGTGCTCCGTGTTTTGTGCTCCGTGTTTGTGCTCCGTGTTTTGTGCTCCGTGTTTTGTGCTCCGTGTTTTTGTGCTCCGTGTTTGTACTCCGTGTTTTATGCTCCATGTTTCTCCGTGTTTTGTGCTCCGTGTTTTTGTGCTCCGTGTTTTATGCTCCGTGTTTTGTGCTCCGTGTTTTGTGCTCCGTGTTTTTGTGCTCCGTGTTTTGTACTCCGTGTTTTGTGCTCCGTGTTTGTGCTCCGTGTTTTTGTGCTCCCGTGTTTTTGTACTCCGTATTTATGCTCCGTGTTTATGCTCCGTGTTTTGTACTCCGTATTTTGTGCTCCGTATTTTGTACTCCGTGTTTTGTGCTCATGTTTGTGCTCCGTGTTTTGTACTCGTGTTTTTATGCTCCGTATTTTGTGCTCCGTGTTTGTGCTCCGTGTTTGTGCTCCGTGTTTGTGCTCCGTGTTTGTGCTCCGTGTTTTGTGCTCCGTGTTTTGTGCTCCGTGTTTGTGCTCCGTGTTTTGTGCTCCGTGTTTTGTGCTCCGTGTTTTGTGCTCCGTGTTTTGTGCTCCGTGTTTGTGCTCCGTGTTTTGTGCTCCGTGTTTGTGCTCGTGTTTTGTGCTCCGTGTTTGTGCTCCGTGTTTTGTGCTCCGTGTTTTGTGCTCCGTGTTTTGTGCTCCGTGTTTTGTGCTCCGTGTTTGTACTCCGTGTTTTGTGCTCCGTGTTTTGTGCTCCGTGTTTTGTGCTCCGTGTTTTGTGCTCCGTGTTTTGTGCTCGTGTTTGTGCTCCGTGTTTTGTGCTCCGTGTTTGTGCTCCGTGTTTTGTGCTCCGTGTTTTGTGCTCCGTGTTTTGTGCTCCGTGTTTTGTGCTCCGTGTTTTGTGCTCCGTGTTTGTGCTCCGTGTTTTGGCTCCGTGTTTTGTGCTCCGTGTTTTGTGCTCCGTGTTTTTGTGCTCCGTGTTTGTGCTCCGTGTTTTGTGCTCCGTGTTTTGTGCTCCGTGTTTGTGCTCCTGTTTGTGCTCCGTGTTTTGTGCTCCGTGTTTTGTGCTCCGTGTTTTGTGCTCCGTGTTTTGTGCTCCGTGTTTTTGTACTCCGTGTTTTGTGCTCGTGTTTTGTGCTCCGTGTTTTGTGCTCCGTGTTTGTGCTCCTGGTTCTCCGTGTTTTGTGCTCCCGTGTTTTGTGCTCCGTGTTTTATGCTCCGTGTTTTGTGCTCCGTGTTTTGTGCTCCGTATTTTGTACTCCGTATTTGCTCGTATTTTGTGCTCCGTGTTTTGTCTCCGTGTTTGTACTCCGTGTTTGTGCTCCGTGTTTTGTACTCCGTGTTTTGTGCTCCGTGTTTGTGCTCCGTGTTTTGTGCTCCGTGTTTTGTGCTCCGTGTTTTGTATATTTTGTGCTCCGTGTTTGTGCTCCGTGTTTTGTGCTCCGTGTTTTGTGCTCCATGTTTTGTACTCCGTGTTTTATGCTCGTGTTTTTTACTCCGTGTTTTGTGCTCCATGTTTTGTGCTCCGTATTTTGTACTCCGTATTTGTGCTCCGTTTTTTGCTCCGTTTTGTCTCCGTTTTTGTGCTCTTTTTGTACTCATGTTTGTACTCTGTTTTCCCTTTTTGTCTTTTTACTCCTGTTTTTCCGTTTTGCTTTTGCTCCGTGTTTTGTGCTCCGTATTTTTATGCTCCGTGTTTTGTGCTCCTGTTTTCTCCGTTTTTCTTTTGTCTGTTTTCCGTGTTTGTGCTCCGTGTTTTGTGCTCGTGTTTTGTGTTCCGTGTTTTGTGTTCCGTGTTTTGTGTTCCGTTTTTTGTGTTCCGTGTTTTGTGTTTGTGTTTTGTGTTCCGTGTTTTGTGTTCCGTTTTTTTGTTTGCTGTGTTTTGTTCCGTGTTTTATGTTCCGTGTTTTTGTGTTTCGTGTTTTACACGAACATAAAATGGAAGAAAGCTACAGGAGCCTATTATATACTGAGCAGTCCCGTTTACACCAACCCTATTCATACAGTATAACCATCCAACCTGTGTTTCAAGCTATCCGACGTATTAATTAATGATGATATTTGGTAACTTGTCCATTCATCCACTATATTTCCAAACCAGTGTTTACCTATTTCGCGCCTAAATCTAAATTTGTCTAATTAAAAACCATTGTTACGAGTTCGCTTCTGGTTGGATAGTTTCAGTACCTTGTTATATCACCTTTGTTTAGCCTTGACTACCATTTATACACCTCTATCAGGTCGCCCCTCGCTCTACGTCTCTCGAGAGTGATTAAGATCTTTAACCTGTCTCTGTCAAGGTTCCTAATGCCGGGATTAGTCATTCTCCTCTGAATTTTTCCAATGATTCTATATCCATTCTGTAATACGGTACCAGAACTGAACTGAACTTGTAATCAGGTGGTCTCAGCGCAGATATAGTTTTAGGATGACCTCGCTAGTCTTGTAACTAACACTTTTTTGTGTTTCGCATTTTGTGTTCGTGTTTCTTTTGTGTATTTTCTCGGGATTATTTTTGTTTCGCGTTTTGAGTTACATAGACATAGACTGACACAGACAAATAAACAGACATACATAGGCACAATTTGATATACAGTATAATTCATTACTCAGTACAACTCGTCAATCATAT